AGGCCCGCTGAACACAAGTGCTCGACGGGTCTGCGTCCAGGGACGCCTGCAGCGGCCGGGCTAGGCAGGCCCGCTGAACACAAGTGCTCGACGGGCCTGCGTCCAGAGACGCCTGCAGGGGCCGGGATAGGCAGGCCTGCGGAAACCGAGCGCTCGGCGGCGTCCGTTACGGTGTCGCACCGCCTTGCGGCCTGGCCCGTGGCCTGTCGTGGCGGGCGAGTGCGGCATGTCTGGACTTCTGCTTGTAGGGCGCCCAAACGCGTACCTGTACACACACACACACACGCGCGCGCGCGCGCGCGCGCGAGTTCGTTAAGACGCAGGTCCGGCCGGCAGCCCGCATGCCCTGCACATATTTAATCGCTTCCAATGCTCGCATTCCCTCCACCCCCCCCCCCCCCCCCGGCTGGTCCGGCGCGTGAGGGGGGCAGCCCGGCAGCAAGGACGGTGAGGCCGAGTCCTTGGAGAGAGTCTGGAGTAGCGTCACACAGCCTGCTGCGCTATCCCCCCGTGGACCAACCCTCTGCTTCCACGTCATCACGACCCACCGCGTCCGTTCTGCTGCGCGTCGCGTGCCGAAAAGTGAAATAATCCCCCCACCCTTCTCGCACCTGTTTGACACCTGCGCGGAAGCCATATGGCCGGCCGTTGGCACCCGCCCAGTCGCGCCATGCCGCCGCGGCTAGCCGCCCTGCCTTCCGCCCTACGCGCGCGGGAGTGCGGAGTGCGCCCGGCACCTGCCCGGCACCTGCCCCGGAGCTCGCGGGCCCCGTCCGACTTGCCCGACCGCAGAGCGGTGTTTTCCCCCGAAATCCCCCGTTTCCGAATAGAGCGGCTTGCTTGCTGCTATTCGCCGGCGGGATGGGGATCGGGTGGCTGCGATTGTCGTCCCAAATGAAACGACCGTCACAAAAATCAGGCAAACACACTCGTTCGGATTTTTACACATCCTGTTTGCCGTATGCCTGCTCTTCCTCACCCTCCCACCCTTTACCCTTCACTTTTCGTGCCTCTCGTAAAATAAAATAAGAAGTCTGTCGGATTATATCCGCGCTTTGCTCGTTCTGCATTCGACGACAGACGGCGCTGACTCACTGAGGTTTTGTGTGTATTGCCTTTTTGGGTCGGCCTCTACTAACTTGCACCGGCACGCTGCCTGCATGCGGTTAGTCGGAGCTCGTTAAACGCTAATCCGAGCCGACTGTAGGCTTTGCTCGCGACCGAGGCTCAGCGCCGTCCCCCTCCCTTGCCTCCCTCTCCTCCTGTTCCAACCCAATCTGCACTTGTGTTTTCACAGATGAAAACGAAAGCGGCATAAATATTCAATCATTTCCATACGCGTCCGAGACCGGCAATATACGCATTCAAAAAGCATTACACGAATTGCTTTCGGGAAAACAATCACGTTTCGCACAATGGGGTCCATGCGAAAAAGAACAATTCGGAGAGAGAGAGAGTAGTTGGTGCCGTAGGTCCGTTTATCTCTGAGCCAGTGGTTTGGGTGTACGGATTGTTATTTTATTTCCTTGCGGGAGGAGCCCCCCTCCCCCCGCCCCAATCTCCCCTCCTTAGAGTGCGTTCGGAATGGCCAGATCAGGATCCAATCAAGACCTGATTACGAGCGGCGCGGCTGCCGGGGGAAAGGGGGGGGGGGGCGCCCCGGTAGCATTGCGCGGCGCATGCCCATTGTGCACATGCCTCTACCGGACCCACTTAACATTCTGAGGTAAACGATGACTTTATTACGGCGGGAAGAGGGGACCGAGAGGGGAGAGAGGGAGGCGGGATCTGCATACGGACAAGGGCATAGCGAGAGCAGGGCACTCGCGGCAGATAGCCGACCCGTGGCATCGCAGGACCCATTCTGAGACAAAACAGGCGATTGAATAGTTTTCAACATGTTTTGTAAATAGTACGAAATAACCCCTCCCCCACCCCCACCACCCCCAAAAATAAAAATAAATAAACAAAAATAAAATATTTCAATTCTGCTAGGATACACTGGGAAAACGAAGGCAGAACTTAGTGCCGTATAAAGGTGTTCAATTTTAATGCCTTTTCATGCTTTTCAAAGGCACGAAAGTGTCCAAAGGCTCTCAAATAATTGAATACCTGTGGGGTATTTTCGTACCTTTGGGTGTGAATGTTTTAGTGTCTTTTTAAAGGTGGATACGGAGTTCCCAAAACGCAAGCGTAATTTTCACGCTATAGGCGTGATTTTCACGCCGGGCGTGATGAAAGTCGGTTCCTGATTGGCTGTGTGAAGCTTACGAAGCGTGAAAAAAATCACGCCTGGCGTGAAAAATCACGCCTGACGTGAAAAATCACGCCCGGCGTGAAAAATCACGCTTGCTTTTCGTGAACTCTGTATCCACACTAAAGACGCGAAAGTTATTAACACCCCAAGAAGGCTGTTGATTCCTACCTTTGCTTTCCCAATGTATTCTTTACATTGCCGATGAAGTACCGTTTCGTCTTTAGCAAAACGATAATAATTTTAAGTTGTTTTTTTGTTGCCTTTTTTGAATTTTTTTTTAGAAATAAAACGGAAACTGTAGATATCGCCACACAACGATCCGACACGAACTCTTGAGCGCTGTCACAACATACCGATGCTGTGTAATTTATGTTGTTTTGTTTTGCAGAGTACTCGTCCGCCTAATGCATATCCCAGACGCCCGTTAGGGTAATTAGCCCACTCGATAATCACTCTGGGCCCTTGCTCCCTTTCAGCGACGAAACACACACACACACACACACACACA